TTGTTCATATACGTCAAAACTGTCAGACGACTTCTTATAGGAGTTATTGCCCTTAAATGACAAATTTTACCATTTTTAACTGGATTTTCGAAGGAAAAATCAGTTATTGATTTGGGGATGTACGGCGGGCGGGCAGGCGAGCGGGCGGCTGCCAAACAGTGTCTGTTCATTAACATGCAAACGCTTTGACGAATTTTTTTCAAATTTTGATATGTTGTTTCCTGTGCCTAAATGAAGGTCAAGTTCAATTTTCACTATTTTAACTTTTCTCATTTTTGAGTTTTTCGACTTTATAGAAGTCCAAATATATACTTATTATATGATTGAGTTTTTCCCTTTGAACAGAAATTGTGATTTGCAAATATCATTTTCATTAGATAATAATCTATTTTTATTAAAGGATATATTTCATTACATTACATTGTGTAGATAAAATTGTTGACATTGATAGATAAGTTGCAGATCTATATTAGTTTGTGACAAATGAAAGAAAAAATATTGGGAACTATTAATTATATATATAAATTTTGATTACACTAAGTGTTTTTAATTTTTTCTTTTTTGCCTATTTTCTTGAAAATTATAATACATAAAGAGAAACTTTAAATTGCAAAAATGACCAGCAAGACAAGTTCTACAAATAAGTCCACATGGTCATAATCATCAGTCTACTCCTTATTAGAGTTATTGCCCTTTGATGATAAGTTTTACCATTTTTTTTGCGTTTTTGCCTTATATCTTAAAATTATAATAGATAGATAGAACCTTAAATTAGCAAAAATGATCAGCAAGACAAGATGTACATTTAAGACAAAAGGAGGAAATCATACACGACTCCTTAGAGGAGTTATTTCCCTTTAATGACGATTTTAATCCATTTTTTTTAGTTTTGCCTTATATGATTAAAAATTATAATAGATAAATAGACACTTTGAATCACAAAAATGATCAGCAAGGCAAGATCTACTAAAAAGTCAAGTTTTTGCGATATAGTTAGTAGACTGTCACTCTTTATAGGAGTGATTGCCCTTAAATAAGGATTTTTTTTACCCTCTTTTGTGTTTTGAGCAAAAACTAAAGACGATAGAGAGAAACTAAACAGACCAAATGATCAGCAATACAAGATCAACAAAACAGAGATTTTTGTCATGAATTCTATTCTCGTCTACAATGTTAGAGAGTGTTTTGTTGAATATGCAAATAGACCAAGGTGAGCGACACAGGCTCTTAAGAGCCTCTAGTTGATACATAGAATCATTTCAAAGTATACTGGATCATTGATCAATGTTATGTTTTCATGAATAAGTCCATTTCTGAGATTCTATAAGCATGATAAGCAGTAGCTTAGGGTCGGAAATGGTTATATTTGTCATACATGACCTAAACTGAAACCTGTTTGACCGATATGGCAGATTGGGATTTAGATCCCCAAATATTTTTTTTACAGAAAGTATTTTGGTCATTTCATTGAGATCAGGTTTTTTATTGCCATTTTGCACTAATTTTTGTTTTGCAATGCTTTTCCATTAATAAAACTGCCACTCAGGTATGATAATCAGAGGGAACTCCTAATCAGGTGTGGGGTAATGTTAATTTGTAATAGTAATGCCCTCTAATGCATTACATTTCCCCACGTAATGAATGTAATGTGTAATACCCAAATTTTTGCATTACATGTAATTGTAATGTAATGCATTTTATTGGCAAAAATGCATGTAATTTATGCATTACATAGCATTACTTCTTGTCTGATAGTGCTACATATTGCTACAAATTTCAGGGATAATAAGTACCTACTGTTTTATTCTTTCTTTTAAGAAAATTGGAAAATTAAAAACAAATCAATGTCTATAGTTAAATGTTTAACAAAAAGTGTAAATTTGAACTGTTGATAAACTAATGATTTTGTTTATCTAACCTTAATACTAAAACATTTATACTAATGATTAAATCAGATCTATTTTTAAAACTTACAAAAATAATATTGTTTTTCATTTGCAGTCATTTTCATACACCATTAGAGTCACTGAAAAACATATACATAGAATGATTGATAATTGACACCTATCAAAAACTACTAATTAGTTTGTATAGCAATAAATTCCTTTCTTTTGACAAGTAAATTTATGAATTTAAAGTAATTAAATAACATTGAGACTAAGTTAACAATATAATCAAAAAACATAATGGTAGAATAAATTCCTTACAACATTTCTGTTATTCCTTTTTTGAGAAAACACAGAGATGTATACTTCAAAATATAAAAAGCCTGACTCAGAAGAACAATCAACCTTGGCAAATTTTGTAAACCATCTGTTATTCAGAAATATATATTAAATGACCCAAAGCAAAACAAAGTTACAGATTCATTTTTCGAGTATATTGCTTGAAGGAATTACTCACATTTTCAACAGTTGAAAGTCAAAACTTTGAGAACTTTATAGAAAATTCCAAGCCGGAAACATCTCTCATCTAAATTGATACAGACTAAGGCCAAGGATGTACATCAAAAATTGTATGATAACCTTCAGGAAGCTGATCACATTTGTTTGACTGTTGACATTTGGTCTAATACGGCAATGAAAGGATTTTTAAAATACCTATTTAATAGTTACCAAGATTTCAGTATAAAATGTTGTATATATGTTTCTTTTGATAATAAAATTTATAGAATGTAATGTGTAATATAAGGCATTACTTTGGTAAAGTAATTGTAATGTAACGCATTACTTTCCAAAATACATGTAATTGTAATTGTAATATGCTGGTTTTGTCCAAGTAATTGTAATGTAATGCATTACATTGCAATGTAATTCGCCCCATGCCTAATTAGTGCCCTACCGACGAAGTCGAAGGGGACTTTAGGTTTGCACTCTGTCCTTCTATCTGTCTGTCTGTTTGTCTGTCCATCCATCAGTTCGGCAAATCAGTTTTCCACACTTTTTTTCTTCATGCTTGAAGATATTGATTTGATATTTGGTATATTGTTTTATCATGACAAGTTACAGATCAAGTTCGAATTTTGTTCTGGTCTGATGATTTTGTGCAGAGTTATGGTCCTTGGACTTAGAAAATTCACTCAAATATTCAGTTTTCCGCGTTTTTTTCCGTCATGCTTGAAGATATTGACTTAATAATTGGTATATGGTTTTATCATGACAAGTTACAGACCAAGTTCGAATTTTGTTCCGGTCTGATGATTTTGTGCAGAGTTATGGTCCTCGGACTTAGAAAATTCACTTAAATAATCAGTTTTCCACACTTTTTTTTCATCATGCTTGAAGATACTGACTTGATATTTGTTATATAGTTTATGCCATGACAAGTTATAGATCAAGTTAGCATTTTGTTCCAGTACAATTAATTTTTAAATGGTAGGAGACTATGTATTGCCATGCAATACTCTCAGAATGCTTGTTACCAGGTTAATGCCTGCAGGAGATATTGACTAAAGATAGCTAATCACTTTTTATAGGACTGCAAAAAATTTTGCAGTCGTATATTGGTATCATGTGGTCGTCGTCATCGTCTGCGTGGACCGAAGACATTTGGTTTCCGGACAATAACTTAAGTATATGTAAAAAGAAATCTATGAAATTTATACACAAGGTTTATAACCACAAAAGGAAGGTTGGGATTGATTTTGGGGGTTATGGTTCAAACAGTTTTGGAATTAGGGGCCAAAAAGGGGCTCAAATAAGCATTTTTCTAGTTTCCAGACAATAAATTGTGGAAAGGTGTATGGATCTCTCTGAAATTAGACCACAAGTTTCCATACCATAAAAGAGATGGTTAGGATTGGCTTTGGGGGGTTATGGCTCAAACCGTTTAGGAATAAGGGGCAAAAAAGGGGGAAAAACAAGGGTTTCCTGGTTAATGGACAATTACTTAAAAGTACAATGTTTGGATTACCTTCCTTACACTGCTTTTAAATTATGAATAAAGAAATGTTTTGTTTTTTTTTTTTGGGGGGGGGGGGGGGGGTCAATTCGCAACAGCCTAGTGTATTGCACAAAAGCAAAAAAAAAGGGGGGTAAAATGTTTTTTTTTTTTTTGGGTGGGGGGGGGGGGGGGGGGGGGTGTCAATTCGCAACATCAAAGTGTATTGTACAAAAGCAAAAAATGGACCATCATCCAAACATCTGTGATGTGATGGATGAAGGTCATTATATGAGGAAGCCAAGGGCTTCCGAGGGTTAATAGTGAACCTTTTATTATGTGCCAGCCACACGCCTATTTTACAGTTGAGTGATTTTTTGTATGTCCAGGTAGTATATAAGGCCAGGTGACCTGAGTAGTATCCTCTTTTATTTTGAGGCAAACAGTAAAATCTCCAGTGTAAATGGGTAGTAACACGACCAGTATTTGCATTTATATCAAACCTCATCGGGAATGGGTTTTCACTAGGGAGGGTACTATTAACCCTCGGAAGCCCTTGGCTTCCTCATATAATGACCTTCATCCATCACATCACAGATGTTTGGATGATGGTCCATTATATATCATAACCCGGGCTTGACTCGGGTTAATAGTGAACTCTTTACAGCCAAAAATGCAAATACCAACAAGAACAACAAGAACATCAATCACCATAACCAAACAATTGGTCTCTCATACTTTAACAAGTATATATGTATGAGCCTAAATCATATCAAAATATTTAACTGCAGATAAAAAGAAAATTCATCTGTCTCCATTCATGTATATCACTTGTACGAAAGAGAATACACAATCACCAATATGTCTATCTACTATCTTTTTATTCCATGTGTTAGATGTTTCTGTTTTCATACCAAAATCATAAACAGTCTCTATTAATACCAAATATAAAACATCCTCTAGTAGAAAACCTAACTACCACTCTACATAATATGTACATGTAGTAGATCATAAATTATCACATTTTGTCTCCATAACATTACTCCAAAACTACCCAGAATTGCAATGACTATCATGAAATAATAGAATATTTCTTTGTTTTGTGGAATAAAGACATAAGCTTCATAATAACTTTTATTATGTTCAAAAACAAAAATCTGTTACAATCTTCAGAAAACAATTAATACTCTATAAAGTTCACTTTAAAATGCCTCTCACATGTAACAAATATAACAAAATAACACTGTTGTTTTCTCATTATTCTTAAATTATCACATTTTCTCTATGCTTCTTCTCAAACGTTCTCGAAATTTAATGCTATTGACTAAAACTGTTCGATTCAACTCCAAATGTCAGCAAACTCCTGTTGCAAAAAACCAAATGGAATGTCCAAAAACCATTCATCTCGCAGAAATGCTAGATACATCATAACATGTACGTAGAAAAACCATAGCTGATCCTCCTGGTCCACCATACAGTTCCTGTAAACCACTAGCTATAAATAAGAATTAAATACTGTTTCAGTATATGATGGCAATGGAGTTTCAATATCTTTAAAATAAAACTTTTGAAAAGTGTAAGCTGACCTCCAGTTAGCAGTTTTTAATATATCATTCAGTGAAATTCCAGCTTGTTTAGCAGCTGAAGTTGAAGCACTACGATATGAGTGTGCCTTAAATTTGTTTATATCAATTCCTGCATTACCTAACACTATTTTCAACCAACGAGCAATAGTTGAAGTTGTAACACGTTTGAATGTTCTAAAAGAAATGAATAAATTTTTACTTTTTCGAACATCCTTTGTCCGTAAAATATAATGTTTAATACATCTAACAGGACAAATATCCTGTTTTTGATATTTATGTATGATAACATCCAAATTAGATTTGTTTGGTTTAGTTGTTTTTAGTAAAACTGGTATCTTAAAAATCAAAGAATTGTCTGTTACAGATACAAATCTCAGATCTAAATTAACAAGTGTTTGTGATCTTTGAGCTGATGACAATGCAAATAAAGCAATGCATTTCAGAGTTAACATTTTTAGAGATAAATTCTCATTTGGATATAATTGTGATAAGTACTTCAAAACTGTACCAACATTCCATGTAAATGTATATCTAGGTAAAGACGGCCTTAAATTAAAAATGCCTTTCATAAATCTAGTTATGTGTTTATCTTTTGCTAATTCAGCCATACCCATTAATGTCAGAGTCTGACAAATAGCTGATTTATGAGAATTAATACAGCTGTAAGATTTTTTGTTTTCATACAAAAAAGATAGATAATTCAAAATTTGTATCACAGATGGAGAAGTGGAATTAATTTGTTCTTTACTACACCACAAAATCCACTTCCTCCAAGCATATTCATACTGTTTATTGGTTGAATCTCTCCATGATTCGGAGAGAATTCTAACAGCTCTTTTTGAAAAGCCTTTATCAATGAGATATCGCCGGATACAATACAAGCGATAAGGAATAATCTTCGTTTGTTCATTGAATGTCTTTGACCATTGTGAGCCAAAGTTAATAGATCTGACCAATTTGGTAATTTTAGTGGAGTAGAAATTAATAATTCTAATAATTTTGGAAACCATGTTTGTGTGGTCCAAACAGGAGCTATAATTAATGCCTTCCTTACCTTGTCCTCTTCTATTTTCTGTAGGACTCTTGGCAACTGACTGAAAGGAGCAAAAATATATGGTAATAAATTACTCCAAGAGAGAGAAAATGCATCTGAAGCATAAGCTTCTGGATCAGGAAACCAACTAACATACTTTGGCAGTTGTTTGTTTAAACGAGACGCAAACAAATCAATCTCTGGGTTAAATAAACTTAAAGTCACTTTTTCAAAAACTGAACTATTTAGTTTCCACTCTGAAGAATCATTAAATTGTCTAGATAAATTATCTGGTTGTATATTTTGTTTTCCTGGGATATGTACCGCAGATATAAATACTTTTCTTTCAGTACTCCAAAACCAAATTTCTTTTGCAAGTTTTAAAAGCGATAATATTGATCTCCCTTGATTATTGATGTATGCAACCGCTACTGCGCTGTCTGTTCTAACACAAATATGACAATCTTTAACAGATCTACAAAGAGCCTGCAATGCCAAAATTATTGCTTTTAATTCTAACACATTAATATGATTCTGACATTCATCTATATTCCATCTACCTTGGGTACAATCTTTCTCAAATACTGCACCCCAACCTATCAACGACGCATCAGTTTGTAAATAAACTTTTGGAGGCTCTTGTCGAATTGGACAACCATTTTCTTTTTTAATATTTTGAATCCACCATAAAATCTCATTTTTACTCTCCACCGACAAAGACATATGAGCATTAAAATTTTTAAAAGATTTTTGTAAAGCTTTTGTTTTGTCAATGTCCAAATATCTATGCTGTAAATGTGCAAGTGTAATTGCATGATAAGATGAAGAATATAACCCAATTAATTGGGCAACCGTACGAATTTGTGTAATCTTCCTTTCAAACACTTTGTATGAAATTTCTATAATTTTTTGTATTTTATCTTCTGGTAAAAATACCTTGAACAAAACTGAATCAATAATGAATCCCAGAAACATTGTTCTTTGTGAAGGTATAAAATTTGATTTCTCTATATTTATTGAAAAACCTAGTGATTCTATTAAATCATTTACAAAATGTGTGTTTCTTTTTGCTTGTTCGAAACAAAGTGCTTGTAATAGGGAATCATCAATATAAAAGAAAGAACTAATGCCTAACTGTCTCACATGTGAAAATACCACTTTCATGATTTTTGTAAATATTCTTGGAGCCGAAGCTATTCCGAATGGGAGACATTCAAAATTATATAATTTGTTGTTCCACATAAATTTCAAATACTTTTTACTGTCTTCGTGTATCGCTACAGACCAATATGCCTCGGACAAATCCAGGCTTGTAAAAAATGCATTTCTAGAGATGCTTTTCAAAATAACTTCAAGAGTTTCTTGTTTAAAATGATAATACTGAATATAACTGTTTAATTTTTTCAGGTTAATAACTGGTCTAAATGTTCCATTTTTCTTTTTTACAAGAAAGAGATTTGAAATAAATTCACCTTTCTCATGGTGTGAAATTTTAATTGCTCCCTTTTTTAACATATCAGATACCTCTGTATCAACTAATCTTTCCTCATTTTTATTAAATTTTATAGGTCTTGGAATTATTTTCTGAACTGGTATCTCATCAAATTCTATTTTGTAACCAGTAATTGTTTCTAATACCCAACTATCTGATGTTAATTTTTTCCAATTTCTAATATGATATTTTAATTTACCAATGTTTAAGCCAACTTTTTCAACATGTTTACATGTAATACCAACCTTCAATTTTTTCTTCTGTATTGAGAATTCATCATGGGTTGCCTGTATGACCCTCTTGGGTAGCGGCTCTGCCCTCTGAAAATGTCTCTTGGGTTTGACATACCAAACCGGTACCCTCGCCGATAGGATCGGCCTCTGTAGTTTTTTGAACTGAAAGTTTTGTTTATCTTTTGTGCATCATTAATCTCCCGAAGTCTTTTACTAATATCATCTCCAAAGAGTTTTTCACCCACGACCTCATTTCTGTTACACAGTTGATGGAATTTACGTTCAATATGAGGCTTCAAATTCATTCTCCTTTTAATAGATAGCTCAAAATGCAAATTACACTATAGAAATAGCTCTTGAAATTAACTCTCTCATTGTCTTAATACAAGGATTTTTCCCTCGTAATAATTCCGCCACCTTAATCAAAGGGACCATGCCTGCCCCTGTTAGCTTTTGAATATTCTGAGAAATCAAATCCTCAGTCTTAGCTCTACGGGCTAAAAATTGCCAAATTTCTGGGTTGACAGGTGGTGGTACTAAAGCTTTACAATTGCTAGGTATCTTGCTATCCTTAGTCAAAGATGTAACATCCGACTTTTTCTTACAAATTTTTTCTATGACTGATGCTATCGAAGGGCTGACCTCAGAATCAAACCGTTCATCGTCCTCAAAAATTTTTGGCATTTCATAATCAAACTCCTCGTATTCAGACAAATCATCAGTTTCAAACAAATTGAAAACATTTTGGTCATTTTCGACCTCATTAATGTCATTATCTTCAAGTTCCTGTATAAAACTATGGGAGTCACTACTTGGACCTGCAGTACCACTACTATTGACATTTATTGCAGACACAATATTACTAGATAAGTCAGCAAATAATTGTTTCAGTAACTCATTTTGCTCGGCTTGAGCTTGTTTACTTTTAGAAGTTTTTCTGGGAGCCTTTGGCTTACTACAGCTAGCGGACGGTTCGTCCTGCGTAATTTGAATACTTCTTTTCAAAGGTGCTTTGCCTTTCTTATTTTTGCCTGGACCTTTTCCCGGTCCTTTTTCTGTAGGCACAACCACTGTTTTCTTATTAGTTTTTACGTTTGTACTCACAGTTTGTGAAATAGAATCTATATCCGGTTTATCTAAAACCTGAATGCACTCCGGTGTATTTGAAGCGTGATTCACACTTATATTTTCAGAAAACCCGGAGAAACTTGCGTCAAACTCATCCTCGGAAGCAAAAAGCTTCATAATCTCCTCATAGTTTCTTTCATCTTCAGATTCTGAAGAAGATGGTCTACGAGACCTTGCCATTTGAAAATCTATAGTATAGACACGTGTATCGATCAAACAGGGTCTGCTTGATACGTACTTAAATGCGTGCGGCCTTGAAATAAAAGAGGATACTACTCAGGTCACCTGGCCTTATATACTACCTGGACATACAAAAAATCACTCAACTGTAAAATAGGCGTGTGGCTGGCACATAATAAAAGGTTCACTATTAACCCGAGTCAAGCCCGGGTTATGATATATAATTGAATATAAATTCAAATGATATAACCAATTCTAAGTTCTTTGACTACAGTTATTCTGTGTCAGAAACCTATTATGTGTCAAATATTTAATTACAATCCAAATTCAGACCTTTATCAAGCGCGAATATTGTGTCCATTTTTGCCCCAACTGTTCAGTGTTGGACCTCTGTGGTTGTATCCAGCTGCGCTCAGCAAAGCAATTTATTACCTGTGTTCTCAAACATACCTGACAGTAGCGATCAAGATCAGAACTAATGTTGAAAAGAAATTCTATTCCATGACAAGTAACTTCATTACCTAATAACTTATCATAAGAGACATCACCAATTTCAATTTAAAAATTAAAACGTTTATTAGATTAGGTAGAAAAAATTAAGTTTTCAAGAGTCAAACATTGTGCTTTATTTACTGTATACTGATGAGTGCAAGTGTCTTCTCCAGATACAACACTCAATAGTAAGATGCAAAAGGATTTCATGCCAAATTAAAAGATTCCGATAATAACGCCAGATGATATAAATACTTTATTATAATATAATAGCATTATTTATCTATTGATGTCATATTAATATTTTTGTAAACGACTAACAATATGCAGTTTATCTACCTGAAGAATCCCTGAACTTCTGGTACTAATGAAACAGGGACCTTCACTGAGATAGCTGTGTCAGTGGAGTAATTGTTAACAGCATGTGCAATACTGTTGTTGAATAAAAAAAGATAAAAAATTAAAAGAGTGAATTACATTCAAAACATTTTACAGATAATGAATTAAAAAATACAATTTGATAGACAGAACAAAATCCAAATCACTTGTAAATTATGATTAACTAGAAAATAAAAAGTTGGGTGGTCGATTCCTCAAGCCTGGTAAACCATCAAATCTCATCCAAATTGTTAAGCAAGAAAAACTTTACTGAGACTTTCTGTTGAGCTTTTCTGGTATGACGTATCAAAAATATAGATAGGGTAGGTTGACTTTTCATCAATTTATTGTCAATATGTGAATATTTTGTTAAATAGGAGAATATCATGCCATAGATAACTAAATGAGGGCTTGTCTCGTTTGTTAATCAAACCAATTTAATTTAAAATGACATCAGAATGACTTTTTTCCCGCAAAATGACAGTGAGATTATCAACAAATATATCAGTATATTGGTATTCTTCTTAATGAATATAAATGTAAAAGAACAGTTTTTGCTATTTCTTTATGAATATAATGTTATAAAAGCTGAATAAATAGAAATTGCTTGTCTTTCAAAAAAACGATTGAACAAAGAGTTTCTCTTGATGTACATAATTTGATTCCTATATAAAATTTTATGTCTCATTCAAATATTTATGACATTGCGATTTTACACTTTAATTTAAAAATTACCACTATTACCAAATAGGAAATAAATCATTATAAGATTCAAACATCGATTTGTGTCATTAATTGGCAATCATACCCTGTCCTTTGTACTTGTTTCAGATTTGTTCTGGCCCATCAATCAGGATGGCCACTATTGTATGATATAGAACATAATGGTTCAACTCAAGTACTTGTCTAAAATCAACCATACTAAATAGAGTAATCTATCACTGGTAAAAATGCTTAGAATTTCAAGATCTGCCTGCTCTTCATTTAAACCAAAATTATAAGACAACCCTCATCGAAGTTATTGCCCTTAATAGATGACTTTTGACATTTTGCCTAGTATCTTGAAAACTATTACTGTGGATTCATTTATTTTCGTGGGTACCAATTTTTGTGGATTAAGGAAAAATTGTGTATGTTTGAATTGTGGATATTTGATTTCTTGGTTTGACAAAAGTCTGCCTACTAACCTTTAGAAAATTGATGCTTCGTTGAACATTTAAATTCGTGGTTCACATTTTCCAACGAAATAGATGAAAATTGGTATCCCACGAATAATAATGAATCCACAGTATAGTAGGCAGACAGAAATTGTACACAGCAAAAATAATCAACAATATAAGATGTATAATAATGCCACTATGACCTATACCATAAAACAAATGTAGAAGAGTTGTTCACCTTAAATGTCCATTTTTTTAAACCAATTAAGTGGTTTTGCCTCTTATCTTGAAAACAATTATAGATAGACAGAAACTATGTTAACAGAAAAAAAAAATATCTACTGTTTAAAATCTTGTATATTAGTATTATTATTATTATACAGTATTTTCAACAGTGCATTATATAATTTTAAAATTACCCCAAGTGCTTTACAACATAATATCAATTCACAGATACAAGTATTTACAATAAATTATGAAAGCCCATGATAAAAAATTAGCATATGAGAAATGATCACTAATAACTTTTAAAAAGATGAAAAAGAGATGTTAAAATTTATAGAAATCTGATTTTAAATATCTTGCATATAAAACTATACTATTAAATGTACTGATAAACAACAAAATGTAAAAAATGGGCATGATAAAAAAAAAAGACAATAAATCTGTACAAATAAACAGTAATAGAAAGTAAAAAAATATTTAGTTAAAAATTCAAAAATTACAATGAGGTAGAAATTGTTTAAAAGAACTATGAAAAAGCATGTCTGAATAAATGAGTTTTCAGGTTTTTCTGAAAAACATTCACAAAATGTTGGCAAATCATTCCAAAGAACGGCAGCTGCTTTGTTGAATCGTCTTTCCTCGTATGTTTTAGTTCTTACATCTGGCATTGTTAAACTCATGGCATTTTCAAATCTCAGTACTCTTATCGCTTTGTAGATAGTAACAAGTTCGTGCAAGTAGACCAGTTCTTCCTCGTGCAAAGCCTTGAATACATACAAAATAAGTTTATATTGGCTATGATAGTTTACAGGCAGCCAATGAAGAGATTTAAGGATTGATGTGATGTGGTCATACTTCTTCCTCCTTGTAATAACCCTGGCTGCTGTGTTTTGGACACGCTGTAATCTCTGAATGATGGTAGCTGGGAGTCAATACAACAACATGTTCCCATAGTCCAAGGGCATTAGAGAGCATACTAATGTTTTGCATGCTTCGATAATAGATAGATGAATTTTGTCCAATGTTTCTGATCTGATTGAAACAGGGTTCTGAAAATTAGCACTGATTTGCTTTTCCCTTGCCTTTTTATCGAAATAAATGCCTAGGTTTTTAACGCATGCAGCATCACTGACAATTTTTCCACCAAAATTGAGATGAAAATCTAAAAGGTCCTTCACTCTGATTTTGGAAGCAAATACTATAAGTTCAGTTTTATCCTCGTTTTATTTTATCATATTTTAGCACATCCACCTGCCCTTGTCAGCCACACAAGCCTCAAGTTGACTTGCTATGTTCGGTCAATTATCATGTGGTTTGAACACGAGATAAATTTGTGTGTCGTCTGCATAACAGTGATAGCACATTTTATGGTGTTTACATATTTCACCAATTGGTCTGAAAAAAAAAAAACAATAAGGTTTTGGTCCCAGGACTGATCCTTGGGGAACACCATACTGGAGAAGAATTTGATCTGAAAGAACAGAACCAATAGTGATGCGTTGAGTCCTCATCTCGAGATACCATTTCAACCAATTAAGTGTTGTACAGGTTATCCCACAAGAGTGTTCCAACCACTTCACCAGAATAGAATGATCGATCACATTGAAAGCAGCCGATAGTTCTAGCATTAGTAAAACAGCACAACAGTTCACTACTGGATGAAAAAACAACTGTCCATACCAGTAACAGTCGTTGTACAACTGTCTTAATCTGTTATTGTCAAGTGCAAGACTAATGTCGTGATGAACATCATTACATGTAGTAATACTGACTCAGTTGAATGACAAGTACAGTAGGCTGATTGTACGGTGTCATGGAAGAGAGTTTGACATATGATGGTTTTCAAGGCTAGTCTCAACTACCTTTTTCGAGCAATTTGGATACAAACCTAGATTAGAGACTGGTCAATAATTTTAAAACACATCTTTGTCTACGACCACTCTCCTTGAAAGATGGTGTACACAACATTGTTGCAGTGACTATATTGGTGATGACAGTAGCTAAACTGTTCAAACAAGGTTTTAATATCTTTGTCGGAAGTGGGTCCAATTGGCATGATTTGGTAGGAGCATTCAGAATAATCTTACACACTTCCTCTACATATTCGGGTGTAAAGACAGTGAGTGGGCAGCCTTCAAATTTTAAATCTTCATTGTCACTGCAAGACGATTCATTTACTTTACATAGATTGGTCCTTATAGTTTAGATTTGTCCAAGGAAATATTTTACGAATCTATTTGATACTTCCATTTCACTGTGGTGTGATGGCAAAATAACAGCGTTTGTGTTTCCCATTAGACTGTTCATGAGCTGAAGTAGTTTCTTTTGGTCATGTCCAACTTCCGAAATTTTACTTGAATAATAGTCCATCTTGCATTTGAAGAGCATTTTGCTTGTCCTGGAACAATGTTCTTTGTAAATCTGTGTCCCACTCTTTGTTTGGTTGCAGAGTGATCACTTTTGATTGTATTGAAGCATGCATGTCGAGGACAGATGGAAGTACTGAGTCATATAAAACAGGTAAATTTTCAACCAAAGTCTTCTGCTCATTTAAGAAAAGGAGAATTGTTTATATCTTTTTTCGATATTTTTAATGTTAATTCCTTTGAACTTCTGAAAAGTCACTGACTTGCGTTGCTTCGACGGTGTAGTGACATATAGTTCACGAAGCACCGCAAAAAGATCTAGCGAGGAAATGCCTTTGTCATCACAGATTTGGATATCCACAATTGATGGTGTGCTAGCGAGAATGGAACTGTTCTGGACCCACTGTTCTCCCTGCATAAGATAATGTTGAGTGTTTCCACGGATATGCTTAGTGTTGATAACATACTGTATGAGACCATGGTTGCTGATAGTCTCTTCAAATTTATGAGTTTCACAATCGTTCTTGTCGTCGAGATGGAAACTCAAGTCCCCTGTCAGAATAATTTCCTCAGGAATTTCAACAAGTCAAGAAGGTCAGACTACTAAAAAAATATTGAATTTTTTAGTTGATTCTTCAGAAATGGAGGAGGACATTAGATCATATTTAAACGAAATTGACGATTTGATGCACTTACACTGCATTTAAGGAGTTTACAATGTGTGAATTTCTTTGTTGTTTTCTGAATAGGTTTGATAATCAAGTTAGATTTATGTACAATGGCAACACCTCTGCCTCGTCAATCTGATATTGCAGTATGCTGTATATTGTATTCGTTAGAAGGTAAAAGTGCTGATTCCAAAAACACAGGTCCCTGGTTCAAATCCTGGAGGAGACCATTGTATTTTTTAGTGAGAATCATGATCTCAGATTACACTTGGCACCCAACTAAAAACCCCATTGTGTTTAGAGGTGATATCTAGCCAGTGTTTGTGTTGTGAAGAGTCATAAGGATATGATGACTCGTGAGGTGATGGAAGCATGACAAGATTGCTTCCTTTGAGTAGTAAATACTTAAGCAGCTGTAATCAGTTGAGGTAGGAAAGTACTTCTTTTAAAGATCAGTCAGTTAGAGCACTGACTTTGAACACTGAGGTCCGGGGTTTGAGTCCTGGAGATGACAATGTGATTTTCTAGTGAGAATCATGCTCTTCAGTTACACGTACATGTACAATACATAAATACCAGGTGAGTAATATAGGTTCCTTGTTGCCTCTTATTCTCTCTTTAAATTCATAAGAAAACAATTGGGGGAGGGGGAAATATGCATAGGTTAGTACAGGAACTGCTATTTCTGGAAATGAATGAGTTTCATTAATTGCAACTCTTGTTTTCCTTTCAAAGAAGGGATACCTATATTTTTACCATTAGTTTTTCTCCTTATGAAATTCTCATATACATGTTGTACTGGTAGTTGTGTTAAGGTCAGATTTTTTTTATCAATTGGCATATGGATGTATAAAGTTAATGTGGTGTGTCATGTAGCATGTAAATTTAAAGAACAAAGTGAGGATTTTTGTTACTCAAATGGTTGTAGATATCATTTTAATTCATGTTTGGTTTTTTTAGCTACTGTGGATTCATTTATTTTCGTGTGTACCAAATTTCTTGGATTGAGGAAAACATACTTTTTCATGGATATTTGATTTCATGATTTTGCTGAAGTCTCATGCATACATACCCAAAGAAAATTTCTAATTTGTTGAACATTTAAATTTGTGGTTCACTATGACCTATAACCAAATCCACGAAAATTGGTATCCCACGAATTATAATGAATTCACAGTATATAAAATGGGATAAATTAGAAACATGTGAACCAATACCTGGACAAGCTTTTATTAGGGGAACCTGTCCAATTTTACATCTTGATTCAGTTCCAACAGCTAGAATTTACAAATGAACTACAATTTCAGAACTCAAAACGCTTTAAATAATATAAAATGTCCATGAAAAATATTTGTTTTTATATTTAATGTGTAAATGCCCCAAGGACCAGCCAGGTTAGTTGGAGATGGAAGATTGTGGTAAAACTGTGTTTGAAATATTGAAATATACTCGTTGGTTTTCCTGTTTCAATATTGTTTTACACTAGTCATTTTGGGGCCCTTTATAGCTTGCTGTTCGGTGTGAGCCAAGGCTCCATGTTGAAGACCGTACTTTGACCTATAATTGTTAACTTTAACTGACTTGATATCTATATCTTCCAAGGTTTATCATTACCTTTGATAGTTCAAACAAAATAGTGCATTGAAGTGATCATTATTTAGATCCTATCCAGTGAATGTCATGCAATTTATTGATGATATGTTATACTTTGATATTTAAGTTACAATATGATTTGTATTTGAATTACCATACTTGTCAAGAAAACATTTTTTTATGCCCCCGTCGTAGCGGTGGGGGCATTAAGTTTTACCCTTGTCCATCTGTACGTACGTATGTACGTCCCAAAATTGGTTTCCATTCTGTAACTTGAGTTTGCCTCAACCAAATGTTATGAAACTTATACACAATGCTTATTACCACAAAACACAGATCAAGTTTGAATTTTGGTGCCGTCACTTTAACTGTTCTAGAGTTATGCTCCTTTATAAATGGAAAAATTGCAAATATTTTCTTTTCTTCCAAATATCAAGTAATTTTTAAAATTGGAGTTATCTTCCTTTGTCCATGACTATAGTTGAATCAATTACAATCAATGCTTTATACAATGCAATGTTTAATTTTGACTTCCACTGATAAAACACAGATCAAGTTGAATTTGGGTAGTGTCACTTTAACCATTATTGAGTTATGCCCCTTTATAAATCGAAAGATTGCAAAATTTTTAGTTTCCATTCTGTAACTTAAGTTTGCCCCAACCAAACATTATCGAACCTATACACAATATTTATTACCACAAAACTAAGATCAAGTACAAATTTTTTGTTTCTGTTTTCTAACTTTAGTTTGCCTCAACCAAATGTTATGAAACTTATACACAATGCTTATTACTACCAAATACAGATAAAGTATGAAATTTGGTGGCGACACTTTTACCATTCTTGAGTTATGTCCCTTTATAAACATAAAAATTGCTGAATTTTTCGTTTCCGTTCTCTAACTTTAGTTTGTCTCAACCAAATGTTATAAAACTTATACACAACCGTTCTAGAGTTATGCGTGTTTACAAATAGAAAAATTGCTGAATTTTTAGTTTCTGTTCTCTACTTAAGTTTGCCTCAACCAAATGTTATGAGACTTACACACAATGCTTATTACCACAAAACTCAGATCAAGTTTAAATTTAGGTAGCGTCACTTTTACCATGTTCAGTTATGTCCCTTTATAACTACTGTGGATTCATTTATTTTCGTGGGTATCAATTTTCGTGGATAGAGAAAAAAAGACGTTTCGTGGTATACGTAAATTCGTGGATCGCTAATTACAAAAAAAAAAAAAAAAATCAGATATGTAATTCGTGGATTTCTTTTTGATTTAGAAGATCATATAACCTCCTTGGTTTGATCAATAATAAAACAAACAAAAAAGAAGAAATTCATTGAAAAAGATTTGAATTGTCAAAATCCTCGCTTAGTCATTCTAGGTTAAAGTGTTCATTAAAAACTTCTATTACAATAATGGACAGAGACAACTAATTATTTGTTTGTTTTACAATTTATAAATTCTTGTCGGAATTTTATAAGGCATTCAAAACTCTATGATTGAAAGCTTATTTCCCTAATCACGATATAATAAACAGTCATATAAGTAAAAGGTGTGAAAATAAATGTTCCTGTCATAAACAATATTACCTACGGGCAATATCCCCGTACTTAATCCTATTGATTTTTAATCACCAGTAAACCAAACTATGACACGGTAATTAACAACTTGCAGTTATTTTCCATGAACAATTTTAATCAATTTTAAAAAGTAAATTATCACTGATATTCGATATATTTATTATTGATTAAATCAAAATATTTGTATCGTCTTCATTAAAAACACGTGTTATGTTACAATGTTTATCGCTAGTCAACACTATATACTAGAACTGCATAACATAACTCCATACACATTTCTCGGGATTATTCTTCGTTGAATTCTTAAATTCGTGGTTCGCTGTGACCCACGAAACCCACGAAAATTGGTATACCACGAATAAAAATGAATCCACAGTATATGATATGCAAGCGGGGGCATCATCTGTGTTTACATGTGGACACTATCCACATTTATTTTATTAAAAATTACATAAGTAATGCATGATGTATGAATCTGTTATAAAGATAGGTTCAACTACAAATGTACTTTCATGAACAAAGGAATTAAACTCCAACTCAAATTTTTAATGTTCTTAGCAAAATACAAATCAATGTTTTATTTAAAAATTCACAAAATTTCAAAATGAAAGCAATTCTTTACCCTTCAGTGCTCATAAGCACTTTGATTTCATGTTGTGGCCATCTTGAACTAAATGTAACCATATGTTTAAATATTAACAAATTGGTGTTTTTTAGGCTAAGAGAGTAATAACCTACCTAGGAAGAGCAAAGCCTGAACGACTTGTTGATGAGTTAATGAACGAGTTGCAGACTGTAGAAACTCTCAACATGACAATAGAGCGAACTCAGACTCCACCATATTTTAGGTTGTCACACCAAAAACGTTCAACAGCAGTTTCTAATACAACTGATGATGAAAAACTTGTCAATCAAGTAGATACACCACTGGAAAAAGGGACATTACACACAAAACGTCATAGTGCAAATGAAGCAGATGCTCCAAGTGAATGGTATGTTTTACTGCTCATGGAAGTTATATTCTGACAATTTTTATGCACCTGTTCAAGGATATTTGCTGCTGAAATTCAAAATAAAAACGTTTTGATACATAACATTTTTTATACGACCGCAAAAAAATTTTGCGGTCATATATTGGTATGACATTGGCGTCGTCGTCGTCGTCGTCCGAAGACACATTGGTTTTCGCACTCTAACTTTAGTTTTAGTGAATGGATCTCTATGAAATTTTACCATAAGATTCAATGGAAGGTTGGGATTGATTTTGGGGGTTATGGTACCAACAGTTAAGGAATTAGGGGCCAAAAAGGGGCCAAAAATAAGCATTTTTGTAACTTCCAGACAAAACTTGTGTGTTAGTGTATGGATCTCTCTGACATTGTACCACAAGGTTCCATATCACAAAGGGAATGCTGGGATTGATTTTGGGGGTAATTGCCTCAAAATTTTAGGAATTAGGGGCCAAAAAGGGGCAAAAAACAAGCATTTTTCTAGTTTCAGGACAATAACTTGTGTGTAAATGTATGGATCTTTATGAAATTGTACTACAAGGTTCCACATCACATAGGGAAAGCTGGGTTTGAGTTTGGGGGTAATTGCCCTAAATGTTTAGGAATTTGGGGCCAAAAAGGGGCCTAAAAACAAGCATTTTTCTAGTTTCCAGACAATAACTTGTGTTCAAGTGTATGGATCTCTCTGAAATTGTACTGCAAGGTACCATACCACAAAAGGAAGGCTGGGATTGAGTTTGGGGATGATGAATCATAAGGGGGTTCAAAAAATTTGGGGGAGGGATTTTTTTTTCCTTTTGTTTTTCTTTAAAATTTTCCATTTTAAATTGGTTATTTCTGATTTATATATAAAAGCAAATAATAGTGATATGGTTTGAATAGGTAAATTAAAATTTTTTAAGTTCTTAGACCACATTCATTCTGTGTCAGAAACCTATGCTGTGTCAAATATTTAATCACAATCCAAATTCAGTGCTGTATCAAGCTTGAATGTTGTGTCCATACTTGCCCCAACTGTTCAGGGTTCGACCTCTGCGGTCGTATCAAGCTGCGCCCAGCGGAGCATTTTATTTCAATAGTTATGGGTAAATTAAACTTTTGCTAAAATGCTTCTTTTTGAGATACATGTTTTAAAAAAATTAGAATTTTTGGCAAGAAAAGATGTCTGAAATGTATGAAATCCTTTACATATCAGTATGTTCATATCATCATATGTCATTTTTTTTATTTTTAAAGTGATCAACAAGATAAATGTTTTGCAAATATTAGAGATCATTAAAAAGAAAGAAGATACCATGAGGCCAGTCAAAAATGAGGTCATAGGCTGACAAACAACACAATGACCCCTCCCCCATAACAAACAAATGGAGATAAAAAAAAGTCCACAAAACACTGCACAGAATATTTAAAATTGAGCAACATCATGAACCAGGGTTGATCTCAGGCGCTCTGGAGAGGTTTCAGGGAAATTTGTCTTTAATAATTTAATGATATATTAATAAATACTTTTTTTTAAAGAGGGTAACATCAGTTAGTACAATACAAATCTCTTGTGAGGCCTTCTGAATAACACAAAATATAAGTCTTATATGAGTTTAAAAACTGGGTATAATAGTAGATAGAAATAATGAGACATCTTCCCAGGCTTATGTGAACCTTTGAATTTAATGTGAAAAAGCACCAATTGAAATGATATCGATAGGTATACAGTAAACCAAGTGATTTTTGTGGATACTTTATTTCATGTTTAGCCCTTTCTAACAGACTTTGTAGTGATTTATTTTCTAAATGTATTTATATAAGTGAAAGTCAAATTTTCACACATTCACATATTTTTTTCTTTTCTGAAAGTTGCAAAAATAAATCTTTTGTGAACATTTGTTGGTTTACAGTAACCATGCAATGTCTTTTCACATTTATATAAATTTTTAATAAATATTATAGCTATTTTCTTTTGTGTACTGTGGATTCATTAATATTCGTTTGATACCAATTTTCGTGGATTTCGTGGGTACAGGGGAACCACGAATTTAAATGTTCAACGAATTACAAATTTCCTAAAGGAATATATGCAGACTTTGCCAAAACCACGAAATTAAATATCCACGAAAGTGTAAGTTTTCCTCAATCAACGAAAATTAGTACCAACGAAAATAAATGAATCCACAGTATTTTCAAGTTACATTTAGTGCTTTTTAGAAATTCATGAAGATTACAATTATGGTACATTTTATTCCTCAAAGTAATTTTTTAAGTTGTGCTATGAAATCAATCTTTAAGACCATGCATGATGAATAAAAATGATCCAATTTGTAAAATTTACATTCAAGTTTTCAGGTCATGACAAAAAATGAATAGATTCAAGATTACTGTATTCAATTTCATAATAGCACTCCAATTCAGAATTTGAGGCTGTCTATGTTTCTTATGAGAACATTAGGTCATGTGATCATGTCATGGCCATGGTTTGTTGGAGTGTGAATGAAATCATACATTTTGTTTTTTTTGCAGTACCATGTTAACAGAGTCAACAATGTCCCTTAGAAGTAATTCAAGTTCTGAATCAACACAGGATCAGTTTCTAATGGGTAAGTTTTTCAAATGACTAAAATGATACTAAAGATTTCTTTGATTTTCTATTCTTGTTTTACCAAATAGAGAAAATCTTGTATCCAAATACAAAATGTCTAGATTACGGTATCATATTGTTGTTTTTAAGAGCTTGTATCTTTAATCATAGACTTTGCAACTGATTTTTATACGTCCGTTTACGGGACGTATTATGGTATACCGTTGACCGTCTGTCCGTCCGTCTGTCCGTCCGTCTGTCGTCAACATGTCGGACACATTAATCCAAAAACGCTTTAACCAATATGCATGAAACTTTGGTGAATCGTTTATATCTATTGACATGAGCTCCCTTTGGTTTTTTTAAAAATTTCAGATTTACCATTTCCGAGTTTTGGGGTTTTATTCATTAAAAAAGGGGGATTTTCCAGTTTTCAGACAATAACTCAAAAACAATTTCACCAATTTGCATGAAACTTTTTGTGAATTGTTCATATCTATTGACGTGAGCTCCCTTCCGTTTTTTATAAATTTCGGATTTACCGTTTCTGAGTAATGGGGTTTTATTCATTAAAAAAGGGGGGATTTTCCAGTTTTCAGACAATAACTCAAAAAAAATTTAACCAATTTGCATGAAACTTTTGTGAATTGTTCATATCTATTGACGTGAGCTCCCTTTCGTTTTTTAAAAATTTTGGATTTACCGTTTCCGAGTTTTGGGGTTTTATTCATTAAAAAAGGGGGGATTTTCCAGTTTTCAGACAATAACTCAAAAACAATTTCATCAATTTGCAAGAAACTTTTGTGAATTGTTCATATCTATTGACGTGAGCTCCCTTTTGATTTTTATAAATTTCAGACTATACGTTTCCGATTTATGGGGTTTTATTCATTACAAAAAGGGGGATTTTCCAGTTTTCCGACAATAACTCAAAAATGCTTTCAGCATTTTTTATGAAACTTTGGTAAATTGTTTATATCTATTTTTGTAAGCTCCTTTTGGAATTTTATAAATTTTCGATTTTACGTTTCCGAGTTATAAGATTTTATTTGTTTATAGTCTGACAACAGATTTACTAAGTATTACGCAAGAGCACAGTGTATTGCACAACAGCAAGAAATCTTTCATATAACCAGTTTCAAGTTCTTTGACTACATTTATTCAGAAACCTATAATATATCAAATATTTAATTACAATCCAAATTCAGACCTGTATCAAGCTTGAATATTGTGTCCATTTTTGCCCCAACTGTTCAGGGTTGGACGTCGGCGGGCGTTTCCAGCTGCGCTCAGCGAAGCAGTTTATTACAGTTTGTTCTTATGTTGTGCTGTTACTTTTTTTATGGCCAATTATAGGGTGTTTTTTTCTCATTGTTGAAGGCCATACGGTGGCATATAATTGCTTACATCCACTTCATTTTGGTGGATAGTTATCTTGTTGGCAATCATACCAAATCTCTTTATTTTTAGTCCCCTACCGACGAAGTCAAAGGGGACTATAGGTTTGCACTCTGTTGATCTGTCTGTCTGTCTGTCCATCCCTCAGTCCAGCAAATCAGTTTTCCACACTTTTTTCTTAGTGCTTGAAGATATTGATATGATATTTGGTAAATAGTTTTATCATGACCAGTTACAGATCAAGTTTGAATTTTGTTCTGGTTTAATGATTTTGTGCAGAGTAATGGTCCTTGGACTTAGAAAATTCATGCAAATAATCAGTTTTCCACGCTTTTTTAGCTCAACTGGCCCAGAGGGCCAAGTGAGCTTTTCTCATCACTTGATGTCCGTCGTCCTTTGTCTGTCGTCGTGGTTGTATGTTAACTTTTACAAAAATTTTCTACTCTGAAACTATTGGACCAAATTTAACCAAACTTGGCCACAATCATCATTGGGGTATCTAGTTTAAAATATTTTTCATATGACCTCGCCTGCTAACCAAGATGGCCGACATGGCTAAAAAATAGAACATATGGGTAAAATGCAAGTTTTGTCTATTATTTTGAAAAATGTTATAAATAGGGAAATTCTGACGGGGCAAAAATGTTCAAAATGTTGAGCTCTACCAATTGATCATGACGTCAAAACAGTCAGGTGACTTTTAATAGGAGTTATTGCCCTTAAATGAAGAAGTTTACCATTTTTTTTTTATTTTTGCCTTTTATCTTGAAAACTATAATAGTTACAAAAATGATCAGCAAGACAAGATCTACAAATAAGTATGCATGGTAGTAATTGTTAGTCGACCCTCATTAGAGTTATTGACCTTTACTGACGATTTTTACCAATTTTTGGCGTTTTTGCCTTCTATCTTAAAAATTATAATAAATAGATAGAAACTTAAATAACAAAAATGATCAACAAGACAAGATCTACATTTAAGACAATATGGAGAAAATTTTCCAACGACTCCTTATTGGAGCAATTGCCCTTTAATAACGATTTTTACCATTTTTTTTTTGCATTTTGCCTTATATGATAAAAATTATAATAGATAAATAGACACTTTAAATAACAAAAATTATCAGCAAGGCAAGATCCACAAACAAGTCAAATTTTGCTGATATAGTTAGTAGACTGTCAATCTTCATAGGAGTGATTGCCCTTAAATGAGGATTTTTTATCCTGACCTTTGTGTTTTGAGCAAAAAATACAGAAGATAGAGAGAAACTAAACAGACAAAATGATAAGCATTACAAAATAATAAAAAAAATGAAATTTTTGTCATGAATTCTATTCTTGTCTACAATATGTTGGAGAGAGTCCATTGTTGATTATGCACGTAGACCTAGGTGAGCGACACAGGCTCTTTAGAGCCTCTAGTTTTGTTATGCTTGAAGATATTGATTTGATATTTAGTATATAGTTTTACCATGACAAGTTACAGATCAAGTTTGAATTTTGTTTGGTTAGAATGATTATTTTGCTGAATGATTATTTGGCAGAGTTATGTTTCTCTGATTTAGAAAATTCATGCAAGTAATCAGTTTTCCACACTTTTTTTCGTCATGCTTGAAGATATTGATTTGATATTTCTTATATAGTTTACACCATGACAAGTTATAGATCAGGATAGCATTTTGTTCCAGTACAAAGTAAAATCCCAAAAATACTGAACTCCGAGGAAAATTCAAAATGAAAAGTCCCTATTCAAATGGCAAAATCAAAAGCTCAAACACATCAAACAAATGAATTGTTAGGGGACTATGTATTGCAATACAATACTCTCAGAATGCTTGTTATTTTGATACTTGGTATGTATATTACATAATCTTTCCGAAGTCATCAACAACACTAATTCTAACAATATTGAAGTCATCAACAATGAAATTCAATGACATATACAACTCAACAAACATAAAGCCAAGATCATCATTGGTGCCAATAGTAGTACTCTGATATCAACTTTGATTTTAGCCAAAAACTGTCAATATAGAAATAAGGGGATGTGGTCTGATTGCCAATGAGACAACTCAACCAAAGTTCAAATGAAGTGAATATAAGCAATTATAGGCAACTGTACAGCCTTCAACAATGAGGCTGACCTGGTACAGGCACATACAGAATGTGTTGGGGTTAAACTAGTTTGAAGCGCCAACCTTCCCCTAACCTTGGACAGTGGTGTAACAACTATGCAGAACAATAACAAATATGAGAAACAGCAAAAAATGACAACCATTCAATTACCGGCTCCTGACTTGGGACAGGCACATATACAATGTGACGGGGTTAAAATAGTTTGCTGGCGTTAAACCCTCCCCCTAACCTGCTACAATGGTTTAACAGTAAAACATAAGAACAAACTAAGGGCTTAACTCATCAGATTGATACAACATGTACAAAGCAGAAAACTTCTATCAAAAACAAAGACTGGACGTGGCAGCTAATCTATACATCCCACAACAAAAAAGATACTAAGTAAAGATGTGAGAGTGCTAGCAGTTGGGTCAATATCTTTAAATGTTTTTCCATAGACGGTAATGGTAACGTTTTTTCCTGTAGCTCAGTCCATATCGTAAACTTGGATATGTATGATAGCTCGTTTCGAAGCTGTGACATTTTCACATATGTGGTTAAATTTTCGGGGTACGAAGTGAGATTACTTTTTCCGTAAATTAGCATACCCCGAACATCCTTTCGTGATGCGGCTCCTCATGGTAAAAAATCCCTTTTTTAACACAATAAGTTCTTTGAAAATTTAATACTTTGAACATATCTAATAGCTCCATAGTTTTTACACATTTATTCTATGTTCCTCTACTTTCCTAATCACCACAAATGGTTAAGCTCAGTCATTTGTAAAAAATAGAAACATGTCCAATATCACTACACAGAGATTTTTTGTTTACACACAACTTTTGAGTTCCTCATTTCAAGGTGCATTAGGGATATTGACCCAGTTACTGACAGCTAGTTAAAAGCCAATAACAACTAATAAAAAAATCATTTAAGACTAAAATATCAATCAGTACACATCCAACATCCAATGGATTTAGTGTAAAGACGTCATTAATAGTCAGAGAAAAACTTGACCGTGTGCATTGCCAAAATATAGGTATAGACAGATTGTAGTACCTTGAATGTACATATTTGTATAACAATAATATTTAGTATGGTTTTAATTTACTAATAACAAAATCAATATTTATACCAATAAAAACAATATTCAAAGATCTAAATACAGTGTTGAAGTGGTAACCTTTTAGAATAAGTTTATTTAAAGGATTGATAAGTTTACCCGGATCATATCTAAATTTCCGAGCTCAGTAAACAACATTCCCGTAAAAATTAGGATGTGCTATTTTGTTTGAAAAAGCAGACTTTAATGTATACAACAGCATCAACACGGTGCTTGCATTTGAGAGAAGAACCTACACAGACAACTACGACTCATTTCACAAAAAATCTTATGATAAATATTGCTCGTAAGTTATGAACATTTCAGTTTAACTTAAGATCAATTTTAGTCGTAAGATTTTTTGTGAAAAGAGCCCCAGGACTACAGATGGTTATATAGAAGGT